ATTGATAACTAGGATTTTTTTTTTTAAATGTATAAATGTTTTACACATATGTTATCTTCAGCATTCCAGTCTATTTCATAAATGATTTAAAATGACTCAATGTGGGCCAAAGATCTCACTTGTAGAAGGTAAAAGAGATGCTGATAGGTCTCCAGTTTCTTCCTCTTTTCTTTGCTCAGGCCCTTGATGCCCTGCTTTTCACCCATAGCCAGATCTTCTTTATTCATTTTGTTCTTTTTGCTTTTCATCTTTTTGCTGTGTGAAACCACATCCTGTTAAAGAAGAAAACATTGAAGAAGTTGGAAAAATTAGGATGGTTAGGATGGGTTCAAACTAGTTTGAACATATGTAACTGTTTCTACTCTTATGAGACTCAAGAAAAAGTTTTTTTGTCATTTTGGCAACCTTCAAACCTATATACATCAAAAGATAATGTAACATTTTTCTCATTAATCCTTAGTATATACAACAAACAATACACATTGCTCCCAATTTCAGCATAAAAATAGCACCTGTAGTGTGATCCTATTCTTTACTAACAGGCCAATCTTAATATCCATTAAATTCAGATCCTTTTCCATTTGCTGATTAGCACGAATCTTGGTGACCACTTCCTCTCTAAGCCGTGTCACTTCCTGTTCCTCCTGTAAATCGAGGCTACTTTGTTCCAGCAAGTGTACAAATTTACGGACCACTGAGAGAGGGGGATGCTGAGAACCGGCTGTTTGAAAAATAAATGGAAAAACAATTATCTTTACCATCAAACCAATCAACTAACAATACATGTAAATGCAAATTAAATGAAATAATACATTCAATGTAATAATGTAATGGACTTACTCAAAGTTCTGTAGTCAACTCTTGCTTTATTAGCCTTAAGGTAAGCCTGAATCGTCACTATTTCTTTCTCCTGAACACGACACAGAATGTTTCAGCGTCATGAGTATGCAGATGCAGAAGCTGAATCTTCACTTGTGAGTGAGATGACTTACATGGTCTTTGAAGTACTGCATTCTCTTAATGTAGCTTCGTTTAGCTTTCCACATCTTCACCAGTGACTGTAACTAAAGTGTAGAGGAAACAGGTTTTTATGCTTATAATGAATAATTATAATAATTCTCTTTAATTATAATAATGAAATAATCATGAATAATTCAAGTACTAAAATTCGAAACAAGGTGAATATGGTACAATGAAAAACTGTGATAAAAGAGCATCAGTGATAGAACCGTTACCTTAATCACAGTGCTCACGCTGTCTTGGAAGGTCTTTAGTCTGTCTTTATACACTCTTCTCTGTTTGTAGCCCTTCCAGGATGCCTGCAATGGTAAACAAAACCCAATGTGAAAGGAGGGAGTATGCGATTTTTGACACAGCCCTCAATGCTTTCAATGTTTTTATAGTGTTCATTTTCAGTGTCTTGTTATTGGTGCAAGCAAAAAGCCCTACGACAATTTTTTGAAATGTTGTTGATTAAGTGTTTTTGACAATCAGATGCGTGTCTCACGGCCAATGCTTGAGAGTTGGCAGCTCGTCTCTCACTGATGTCGCGACACTCATACAACATTGTTACTCGCGCACGACTCAATGTCACAAGACAGTCTCACTAAACAAAATCACGGTTGACTAATGCAGTAATGCAGCCTGTTTACAGGGAAGTAACAGTAATCTAATTACTATTTTTTTAATTGGAATCCCTTACTTTACTCGTTACTTGAAAAAAGTAATCGGATTACTGTAACGTGTTACTTCTAACGCATTACTGTCCATCAGTGTTCAAGATTAACATGAGATTGACTGAAACTGAGTGTTTTACCCCCCCCCCCCTTTAAGTAGTATATTGTTTTTTTAATAAACAACAATTTAAACAAATAATGATAACAACTATATTTTTAAAAAATAGTATTTTTTAGAGTTAAGCACCTGTAGTTTGATGACGCTCGGCTCTTGTTTTTGCAAGTACTCCAGTCTGTCAGTATGTGCCCGCCTCACCAGGTATCCACGAATCAGGGCCTGCAGTTTGATGATCAGCGTCTCATTGGCCAACCACAGCTGCTCTCTGCTATACTCAGCTGTTACACTGCTCAAAACACTCTAGTTAAGGGGAAAGAAAATATCAAATGAACTGCAGAGCTGTCACAAACAACGCAAAACACAGCAAATGTATGTTTGTGCTAAAGACATACCTGAATATCTTCTTTGGTGAGCTGTGAACTGTCATGGAAAAAATGATCTGGCTCAACCCATGTCCCTTCTTTGCTTTCGATGTTATAGAAGTAATCATATTTATCCTTGATCTTGTGTTTTACCCACGAACTGCCACTGGTCTCTAAAGATAACACAATTAAAATTAAAGCACTGTGATTGCTCAGAGGTCCTGTGAAGAATAACTTATTTATGAAAAAATGTATTTGCCTCTGTCTGAAATCAAATAAACCAGTAAATGTTTTAGATGTTGCTTGAAAAGTCTGTGGAATATTTATCTAACAATTTATCAAATTGTATCAAACTGGCAAATATTGCACAAATTTGACACAATTAGGTTTGTTAATGCTATTGATACACATATACACAAAAGGGCTTGATAATACCATACACAATATTCTGTATAATTATATAATAAATGATATTTAATATGCATGACAGTACATTCTCCAGCCTCAAAGAGTAAGGCAGATAACAAGAGCTAAGTTAATGTTCAAATTATAGCTAGACCTTCCAGACCGCAGTCATCAATGTTACCTTGTTCTGTTTGAGTGCTCTGTAACTGAGAGAGCTGACTGTGGTAGATATGAGCACATTCAGACAGCACTGCTCGAAGACCTGCATCAGGACACTGCAGAGCACCCAGTGTGGCCATAGCATCGCCCTCAGATACTGCCCTGTTAATGTCTGCGACGGCCTCAGCCACTGAAATAAGACATGCAATATACATAAAAATCATTTTCAATCCTTGAGAATGGATAAAGTTACAGTTATTCATAGAAAGGATGCATTTTTTTTTCTTTCTTTGCATTATTTTGATTTTTTCCTATACATTTTAAAATTGTATGTATTGTGACAATATTTTGTCAGATTTATGTACAGTTTACATGACAACGATGTACTAAAACAGAAAAAGATTTTTCTGTCCTTTGTCAAAACGATCCCCGTTTGCACGTATGATTAAAAAAGCTGTATTCTGCTGCCAGGCCAGTAGATGGCGATGTCCCTTAGGGGGCTTTCACACTGGCAGTTTAGTTCGGAACCGGGCAAGGTTCGCATGAAAAACCGCTAATGTGAACGCTGTCATGGGACCGAGATGCGCACTGGGGTACTGAACCCTAGACTACCTGGAGGAGGTGGTCTGAGTTCGGCTGGTACAAACGTGCTCGGGCTCGGACCGCAGCAAACGAGCCCAGTGTAAAAGCCCCCTTAGTTTGATTTGCCCGGTCTCCCTGTCTGTCTGTATTCTCTAGTTAATTTCCTTGGTTACTGATTATGTTATGCACCTGTTTCTATTTTGTTTATTATATAGTATTTAAGCTCTTAGTTCCCTCAGTTACTTGTTCAGTGTCATCTTTGTATGATGTGGTCGCGTTCTAGTGTTGTCCTGATATATCCTGGGTATCTCCGAGTTATGTTGTTAATAAAGTGTTTTTCTGTTAGATTCTCCATAGTCATGCTTTCATTGCAGCCAAACGTGAACATTTTACATCGATTTTTATTAACAGCTTAAATATATAAAATATATATTAAAGAATATGCGTTATAAAATATATAAAGTATTTCATTTTAAATGTCAAACCCAATTTGAAAGGTTATATGCCATTATGTGAATCATAAATAAAAATATACAGTACATCCTTCACAGGTATGTGTATAGGATATTAACAGAATTAACATAAAAGCTTATCATACATCTTTCATGCAACTTATATTTGGATACAAACTTACATTTGAGTGCATCCTCCTGGTCCTGGTTGGCAGTGTGTATGGCCTCCTGGATCTGGTCCAGCCACAGCACAGCAGACTCATCTCCGGATCTCTATAACAGCGCAACACACAGTCAGGGCAGGCTCAATACAAAACATGTGTACTGCTGTCACAGTGCAAACCAAATCATCTGATACTACACAGTCATTTATTCTGAATGTAAGCAACTAAAGTAAATCATGTATTAGACAAGACTGTATTATACATGCTGTGCAACTATCACTGTAAAACAGGAAGTGTCTCTTTGGTAAATATCTTGTTTAATCAGGTTTTTTTTCACAGCAGTCATATAATATTATATCATCTCAGTGTATGATGTCAAATGTTAAGAGCAAAGTTAACCCAAACATTTCCATAATTTATTTTGGAATTTTGAAAGCACAGATGAACTGTATGAAAACAATGAAATTATTTATTTGATTTAATATATAAAAAGTATGGTGCAGTATTTTGTCATCAAATAATTCATGGTATGTTTTTTGGTAAATAGTGTGGCCAGATTCCAGACACATTTTTAACAGAATAAAAAGAAAAAGTTAAGAACCTGCAACCTGATGATATCGACTGCTGTGAAAAATCAAAGATTTACCATTCTACCTATCATTTGCTGACACTCAGATCCTGAAAAACAAAACAAAAAAGTACCGTTTCCTTTATTTGAAGGGATAAGACCTGAATTCATTCAAGAAAGAAAGAAAGAAAGAAAGAAAGAAAGAAAGAAAGAAAGAAAGAAAGAAAGAAAGAAAGAAAGAAAGAAAGAAAGAAAGAAAGAAAGAAAGAAAGAAAGAAAGAAAGAAAGAAAGAAAGAAAGAAAGACAAAAATCCATTAAAGGATTTAGAAAGAAATCCATTAAAGGACTAAACTTAAATCAAGTTGTCAAAACACCAAAACATCATATAAACATTCCTGCATGTTATTTAGGAACTATTTGTGGACAGATAAGTGTAAATAGTTTGGTCCAACCATTTGGGGGAAGTCTCATATCACGTAGCATTTCCTGACATGCCTGAGAAATGAGCACTGAGTAATTCTGAATCCAGACTCCCTAAACCCTTACAGGAAACCGTCATGCCCTTCAACAGACGTCTAGCTTGATAGTTATCTCAATATACAGATGACTGATTGTCAGAACAGAAACTTGTTGGTCATGTTTAGTTGTTTGCCAAACGATACTTTGTAAAAAATTCACAGGAAAAACCTTTCAAACATGTGGAGAACATTTGTGCTGCTGCTATTACCATTCATTTTTGAGGATTCACTTCAAGATTCAGGTAAGATCACTTTTCTCTAACAGTTAAACAGCTGAGCTGATTGCTATGTGGTAAAGATGTGGACATGGACTGAAGTCATGATTTTGTGACTAAAAAAAAAAGTAAGAATAGTTGACTAACTCTCAGTTACTATAGCAGTCTATGATGACAAGGAAAATGTTAGTAGATCTAGAGAATATTCAATAATCTAAAACAAATAATTCTCAAAATACAATGAGCCACAATTAAAACAACATAAAGATGGCGAGTTTGTGAGAATTTTGGAAGGTTGTACATAGCTGAAAAAACAACAAGACTCGGAAAGCAAAAGGAAAACAACAACACGCAAGACTACGTAAACCCGACAAATTAAAATAAATTAAATAAAGGGAAATTAAATATGTCACACAGTTGAAATGTAACTCAAATAATTGAATTCAAATAAAAAAAATACAAAATACTTGATGTTGGAAGTTTGTATTGTCTTACTCTTACAGTTAATGTTTGTCATGTGTGATTAATCATGATTTATAGGCACGTCAAATTTCCACAACCAATGTTTTCCAGATAATTTAATCTAAAACAGTTGAAATATGTTTCAACTGTAAATATGTTAAATACCTGAAATATGTATTTAGAATTTAATGTGCAATGCTATTATCATTAATGTTAAAAATAATGACTTGAAGCCATGTCTGCTCATCTAATAATTTGTTGAATTATATTCAATTCAGTTTAAATGTAGTATCACGCTGTGTGAAACTGTACAGAGAATGAATACACTTTATTTCAGTATTTCAATATTGTGTTTTCTAACATTTTTTTCAGCATCAATATATACCAGCATCAATATGCCAAAACAATCAATTCAGCCAAAAACGTTTCCTGGAACACTAGTGTTCAATATTTCCCTGTTCTCCAACACATCTATCCAGCAGCCTATGATAAACGCCTCTGATAAAGTCATCAATTACATCACTGGAATTGTCAGCACTAGGATCATTCCATCCGTGTACATCCTAGCCATCCTCATCGGGATCCCCTCTAACGTCTTTGTGTTGGCTTGCCTCAGTGGAAGAAAGAATCTTTCCAGTGGTATCCTATATTTTAGCCTAGCAGTTTCAGACCTTCTCCTGCTACTTTCTCTCACACTCAGAGTCCACTATCACTTCAATAACAACGACTGGATCTTTGGAGAGCTGGCCTGTAAGGTGGTGACTGCCTGCTTTTATGGTAACACCTACTGCTCGATATATGCCCACATGTGTATTAGTGTGATGCGCTACCTTGCGGTGGTCCGCCCGTTCCGCTATAGGACAATGTCGAAAAGGTACTGTGCGATCTGTTCGAGCTTAACCACGTGGGTGGTTTTTGCTATTGCGATGGCACCAGAGTTTCTGGTTCAGCAAAGCTACCATGTTTCCGGGGAAGACTTGGTGACGTGTCATGATATCCAGCTCTATGAGGAAGCGTCCTACAAACCTTTGATTCCATACAGATTGAGTCTGATCTGCCTGGGGTTCATCCTGCCATCGCTGGTCATTGCATTTGTTTACGGATCCATCATCCACCACCTAAATTGTTCCAGTCGTGACTGGAAACACTACATGAAGGCCAGCACGTTGGTGTTTGGGATATTTTTAGTGTGTTTTACTCCATGTAGTGCACTTCTTTTTGCACACTATGTGAAGTTGTACAATGAGAAGCAGTATGACCTGTATTACTACTACAGAGCAGCTGTATGTCTGTGTTCTTTCCACAGCTGTCTGGACCCTTTCCTCTCTTATCTGCTCACAAAGACTTCAACTTCCCAAGTCAAGTTTAGATCCTTTAGCTCTAGACCTTCGAACACATTGTCCACTGTCTAAGGCCTTCTAAATAGCAGGATGTTTCTGTTTCTGGACCCTGCAAGGGTGGGCTTCCTTATCTAAAATGGCTTAACAGTGGAATGAGGATGTTATGGTTGGACTTCCCACTTTGTACTATAGTAGAAGCTCATTACTTTGTACAGAAGTGAAAGAAGTTGGACACACAGAGGTCAAGCTGAATACAAAGTCTTTGAGACCATGAAAGAAGTGTTTAAATCATTTGAAAAAAAAGTAATTCAAATAAGAGATGTCACCTCTTAGACATTTCATTGGTTCAGTGCTGTTATTCTATGTCACCTTGCAAATGAGGTCTTTGGTGGTCAGCAGTAGATCATGATAGTGTTTGCCGGTGACTGGATTGACTCCCTGTAGTTTAGCTGTAGGGAGTAGGAGGGTGGCGAGTGTCTTCTCTGGATCTCCAGAATTTAGAGCTTCGTTGATCTCAGCGATAGCAATGACTCCTACACAACATGGGAATTTTATGTAATCAACAACTCGTGATGCAATGGAAGAGTCATTGATTTGTGTAGTGTACATTTCCATTAAGAAATGCATTATGTTTATACATTAACAAATATGTTGTTTTAAGATATTTATCTTCTATAAATTCCAGCTTTATATATTCCACCAGTTTACTTGTGTGATTCATTACATGTTCAATAAAACTGTTCTGTGTGATTTATTTGTTCTTAATTCATACACACACATCCACACAACCACATAGCGACACCAGCTTATCAGAACATTATGGAGTAACTTTCTCAAAAAAGACATTCTTTGTATGGTAGATTTTAAGAACCTTCAAGGTTCAATGTATTTGAAAGACCACCTATGAGTTAAACACATCATTAATGAGAAGGCCATTTGATAAACCTATATTTATATTATTCAGCTCATCTGAAAGAAATGATGTAAAGAAATAGACCAAAAAGCTATTTTTATAAGAAAATATATTAAAGTCTCTGTAAAGTCTAAATTAAGTGTGTGTTCTAAGATTGTCACACCACAGAAAAATGTGTTATTAGCTACCCAGCCAAATTTGAATGATAAAAAAGCCAGCAAGTACATAACATAAGCTATCAAAATCTTGAAAAAATTAGCAGTATTCTCTGCTTTCAAACGCTGGGGGCGTGTCTGCTGGCTGCGCTGAAGCCACGCCCACTCGCGGGGAAAGCTGTCGACGGTGATATTGGCTGATACTGCTTTCGGGGTGGGAGGATAATCAGTGAATCCCAGTTGTCTCTGACAAAAGTTTATAAAATTATCCCTTGTAAAATGATCACTACAGAGGCGGGTGTTGTCGGTGATCCTCAGCTCTTCATCAAGGTTGGCTCTTCTCAAAATTAATCCACCTCTTCTTGATGTGATCGTTTTTAGGAAATTTAAATAAAGACACCGATTTGTTTTGTACATGATCGCATACAGGTAGTAGCCTACTCATTTCCGTGTCGAAGGCATACTGTAGCTAGCTAGAAAACTGTAGGCTGTAGTAACTAATAGTACTGACTGACAGTCACTCGCTATTGAGCAGCAAACTGATGTGAATGTGCTCTATTGTTAGAGAAAGGGCCAGCCTCAGTGCGTCATCAAGTAGGGGCGTGTCCAGGAGCTCAGGGGCTCCAGTGCGTCATCGAGCCCCGTTTTAGCCCCGCCCAAAAAATCCGGAAAATAGCAATGGTGAAAAACTGTTTAACAGTCTAACGCCACAATTCAGTACTTCACAGTTCACAGTCTTTGTAATATCTTTTAGCAATACATTTCTAACATTTATAATGGGTTTAGAATTTTTGTTTAGAATTGCCTTTACAGGGACTTTAATTTTTTTTTTGAAGAGTGAAATGCATCAAAATTGGATATACTTCGGAAAGCTTTTTAAAATGTTTTTTGAAAGAAGTCTCTTATGCTTACCAAGGCTGTATTTATTTACTCAAATCCTGATTTGGTTCTCGAGAAACACTTATAATCATCAATATTGAAAATATTGTGCTGTTTTATATTTTTTTTTATTTATTTTTTTGTGGAAAATATGATACATTTATTCAGATTGATGAAAAGAACGTTCAACAGTATTTAATCTTTTGTAAAGTACAGTAAGTTACCTTTTCTAGCATTATGAATATCTTTATGGTCACTTTTGAACAATCAACATCCTTGCAGAATAAAAGTATTTCAAAGTTCGCTTACTCTCATGTTCCTCATGCACCTGGATATTGACAGTGTCGATGCACTTCTGAACATCATTCCAGGTGAGGAACTCTTGACCCTGGGCGAGGGACTCTGCTCTAAGACGGATCAGTGTGTCTGCATATCTAACAAAGCAAAACAACCACAGGATCAAGTAAATTATTTAACTGTTTCTCAGAGTGTCATATCGTATTCTTGGCATCTCTCTCTTTTTCAATCAGTAGAGTGAGTCACTGTACCTCTGTAAATTATCAGCATCCAGACCACTGAAGCCCAGTGGAGAGTCACTGAGCTGCTCAATGACGGCCACTGAGTCTTTGGTGTCCAGAACCTCATTTAACACAGACACAGCAGACAGCATCTCCACAGCTACACACAGTTCCTCATGAGTAAGACCAGCCTTGTTCTGAGGTGATTGAAAATGTAAACTTGTTTAGTAAGTAAGGACAAGAAAGAGCTGAACGGGAGAGTAAGAGAGCTGACCTGAGAGCAGAGCTGTAGGCTGAAGAGCTCGGCCTGGTACAAGCTGGCAGCAGTGTGGTAGACGATGGGTAACTGGGCCTCGGGGTTCAGGAGCTCCTCCACGGTCTCTTCTGGGACGCCTCGACGAATAGCTGCATTGATTGCAAGAATCGCCTCCTTCTCTGTGTCCATCAAGAGCACAATAAGCAGTAGTATCAGAAAAACACAAAACAATCATATAAACAGTATATGCTGGTAGCAAATCAGTAATCAGCTGCTTATATATATATATTATATATAAGTAGTGTCCGAGTGAAGACTGCGCGAGCCATGCACCTGAGGCTGGGCAACAAGCGCTCAGCTTGATTTCAAAAACATTTTAGCGCTAGATCTCTTATTTAAGAGCGAACTAAATTAATGCTCTGCTGGTTAACTGGAGATGTTTTATTTGTATTAGCTACATCCGTGCCTCAAAGTTTCCAAAAGTGTGCCGGGTACAAAATGACTAATGACAAAATCGCCGTCTTGATTTGGCTGACGTTAGAGCTGATCCGCGCATCTCTACTCTCCAATGTGTAATTATTGGCTGATGGTCCTCTTAACAGCATGAAAAACAAAACTTGTATTCAAATTGTCAATGGGTTATAAACAGAAAGTGAGCAAAAAGCGCTCCGATTACAATGACGACCTGTCATCACGTCAACGAGATCACGGCACTCTTGCAAAATCTCCAGTTACTGGCGGTTTAGTTTGGAATGGGGCACGGCTCACGTGAAAAATGGATCATGTGAAAGCTGCTATTGAGCGAATTCTGACTAACTTAAAAGTTAGATGTACTGGGCTAATAGTGGGCCTACTATTAGTAGGAGGCTATGAATAATAACCTTTTTTAAAAGCCATCCTGAGTATAAAGCATGTCATTTAAATGTCATTATTTTTATTTTGTTCCTTGCAGGGAGGTTTTTAATTTATGAGCATGAACTTTTTTTATTTTTTTCATTTTTTTGTTGCATTAATATTGCTAGAAAACTGTTAATCCACTTTATAGTTCCAGATTTTTTATTTTCACATTCAGTATTAGCTTACTTTAAATAGGACTAGAAAAAAGACTTGCAAGACTTACCTAGCAAGATAGGCCTGCATTTCTAAATGAGTAAAAACTGTAAATATTGTCATAAATAAAGTCTTACGATGCAAGTTGTAATTTGTGGCCCTTCACATTTTATGTGGTTTAAATGTGGCCCCCTTGGCATCTGAAATTGAGTACCCCTGATCTAAACCAACAATGGCCACATAGAGAGCTTCGTAACTAAAGAGGATCTACACTACACTCGAGTCTTTACGTTATCTGCCAGTCAAGAGTACATGAATGTGACATACTTTGTTTCTCCGCCTCTGCAAACTCATTACAGGAAGTAATGACCCTCTGAATCTCTTCTCTCTCCAGCTGAGCACCCGCACCAGCATCCTACATACAGATGTCATAAACATGCTCATCAAATTCATATGACCCAAAATCAAGAGTAATTTCAACAGATGTAGATAGTCTGCTTCAGTACCTTAACTTTATGCTTCCTGTAAGATGTGAAGTGCTCCAGGTAAAACCAGGAGTTGTGATCAAGAACTCCTACAAGACCAAGTGCAGGCAACTGAAGGCTGGCTAGTAGGGCTTTCTCATCCTCACCATCAAGAGCCTGAATTACTTGCTGAATAGCTGCTGATGCTAGAGAGAGGAAATCATTATTACTGTTATATAACATTTACATATTCACTTCAGAGAATCTCAAGAATATTTTCAAAGCAGCCCACTATGCCATACAGTAAAAATGAATTGCTATATTTTCATGGATGATGTATTGATTTCCCTGAAGTGTCCAAGTGCTCTCTTAAGGCAGGCATACACTGTGAGATTTCAGCACGGTACCTACTCACTCTGAAGAGTAAATCGCATGCGATATAACGCCAAAGTTCAGGATTTATGTGCTCACACTTTACATGTGAAATATCTGCGATTAAACCCCTGGATTGCGCCTAAAGATGATATCGTGTATCCAGAGAGATATTGTCAAAACAAGCAACAGCTATCAACATCAAGATTATATAGCATTTCCAATTTCTGCATTAAATTATTATTAGTATTGTATTATCATTATTAGGGGAGTCCTAGGCTAATTTTATTATTAAATTGATCTGCTATTATAATTAATTTCCCACATAATAATTTCGCAGTACATAACCAATGTGCTGTGTGACAATAATAAAATATTTCATAGAAGCTCACTCCTCCTCATTGAAAATTGTCTAAAACATTTAGGTCGATTACAATGAACTATAGCATAGGCATATAGTAAATAACTATTAACAGTCTGTAACATTGCAATAATTAATCATCAATGAAAAATAAAAACAGGTTTATTTCAAAAACATTGTTTAAAAAATTAATAAAAGAGTGGGTAATATAAGTTATGGTTAATCCATTTTGCAACACAAACTGGAGGTAAGCAACAGTAATCTTGTAGCTAGTTTGAACTACTGAACTTAAAGATCTCCCTCTTTTCGTTTTTATTTAAATTGTATTTTTGCTGCAGATGAAATGGTTTAACTTCACTAAAAAAAACAACAACAAAAAAACACTGAGTTTAGGGCAATCGGTTCGTAGGTTTGCTTCAACTGTGCGATATAGTCAATAGGAGCGACCAAAATTTCTGACATGCCAGACATTCATCCGACCATCCGATTGTCTCCCTGTACACTGCACAAACACTGCACAACGACAAACGACGAATGACAAAGCTGAAAACCGAAAAAGAGTCGCACTAGTCAGAATTCGGCACAAAATTGAAAAAAGCATATAACAGAATTACTCAACCTAAAATTAAAATATAAAATTAAAACAGACAAATAAAAAACTAATTTAAAATAACAAATAATTGCATATACATAATAACTAAAATAACACTGCTAATGAAAATACAATTTTTTTATTGCAAATAATACTGTTTGCATAACAATTTGAATGAAACGCTGCAGAC